TCAGGGAATGGAAAGTTACTTTTTAAAAGTAACAAATTACAGTTACTCGTCACCGAGTAGGAAAAGTAACAAGTTATCGATTTTCAAAAGTAACTCGTTACAATTACCGTTACTTGAGAAAGTAACTTTTCGCTACTTTTCCGTTACTTTTTTTTAAATCGACGACCGCCAATCACAGCGGACGGGACTAGGAGCTTCTATAATCTCAAACGCTATGTACTGTAAAAAATTGTTGCGTAAAATTACAACTATTTTACTAGATAATTTTGAGACCCACTATAATAGTTGTAAACGTCCACACGTTTGTAAATTTGCAATATGCAAATAAAAATAATTTCTTGGTTTGTAACTAAGCAGATTGTAAAGGTACAATTACAATGTGTATGTGTAGTTACAGGAACGATAATATGACAATACATTTCACACTATATATTATTATACATTTAACAATACGCGAAAAATTTGTTATATTACGTAATATTACTAAAATTTGGATAATTATAGAAAATATTCAAAATATCCTGCTATTTATATAATTTTCAATATAAAATAAGATATATTTACACAATAAAAGCAAATTTACATAATTTCTGTAAAATTGCAGGATTTTTTTATATTTACAGGACTAATCATGTAATCTATTTTACATCTATTATTATATGTGTAAATTTACGAAATTTTTTTACAGTGTAAGTGGCTTGTGTCATATCGTGTCCAATCATGTGCAAAGTAACAATAAAAGTAACTGTAAAATTCGTTACCGTTAACAAAAAAATGTAATTTCGTTACCGTTACAGTTACAAAGAAAAGTAACGCAATTACTAGTAAAGTTACCAAAAAAGTAACTTGTAACTGTAACTTCGTTACAAGTAACGAGTTACTTCCATTTCCTGTGATTCTTTAATATGATTGGTTTCTACTTGAATTCAACGAAGAACTAAAGGCAAGAACCAATCACATTAAAGAATCACTAAGCGCTAATTAATTAATTTGCTCTGCTGAATGTAGCTATTGTCATTATACATACATTACTATTAAAGAATAAATCGTATAATTAAATTTATCTTCATTTTGCTTGAATAAATATTCCACATAATCAAATATATTTTTACTAAAGTACACTTACGTTTTAAGTGTATCTATTAAAAACTTTTAAGCATATTTATGTTTTAAATGTATCTATAAATAACTTTTATTTATTCTTCGATTAATTGAAGGTATATGATCAGAAAACTGCTTGATTTAAAACATAACTGCATATAAATTCAAACTAGGAAATAAACATAAAAATTTGTTACTAAATCACTATTTATCACTTTTTACTATTATTTATTAAATCTTTCCGATCTCTTTAATTTTTTCTTGTAACGGAGTCGAACGCCACACCTTATATCATTTTTTATTTTGTTCTATTATATTATTAAAAACAAAGCGTCAAATATAACGTCACGTCGATGCAGATTGAAAGTAATTTCATTTTATTACTTTGGAATTAATAAACTATAATTAAATTTTATAAAGCAATATTTCGACGCTTTTGCCACGAATAATTGTGACTTTTACCGATTCGTACGTGCAAGTCGTCACTCTGCTCCAGCCAGCGTTTGATTTCCTTGATTGCATTCTCTCTAGTTTCATCGGTCTCGTTTAAATGTGCTGCTGCATATCTTTTCTCCTCGTTAGTTAGCTTATGTTGAGCATAACACTCTACACTATCGCCACACAGGCTTGCCATCGTGACACTGCGAGAAGCTATGTTTACAGCAGAACGTATATGAACTGTAGAGATACACTGTCATGCGTAAAAGACGATTAACGATAAACACAGCCAGATAAGTCAATGTCAAACTTTTTCATGAAATCAATTTGGTGATTTACAATAATTATTTGCTGTTCGTTCTTCAGAGAAAAAAACGTTAATGTTACATAAGGCATAAGGTCTAAATTCTCTACATTATTGTAAACTTCAACGTTTTTCTTGAAATACATATATATGAACAAAAATTATATTGAAAAATCATACTTATATCATTATTTATAAATAATGAAATAAGTGTAAAACAAGTAAATTAAGTTGTCTAATGTTTACATAACAATATGAAAAAAGATTTATAAATTATAAAAAGTAGTACGAATTTCTGTTTTTATTTACATATGTTAGGAATTTAAATCATTTGTAAAAATCGTTCGATATATTTCATATTTATTATGCTCATTCAGCCACAAATCAGCTATTTTTGATTCTTGGCCTTGATATCGTGCGAAATATCACGGTCTCAGCAACAGTTATCTAGAGCAGTTGTTACTTTTTCTCTTCTGGCGAACAAGTAATTAACGCGATGTAGAAATATTTCAAATCTTAGATGTATTACGTAAATTATTATTGCATAAGTCTTGTTACGTATTGTATATATTATATATATATAATATAGATATGTTAGGGAACTATAAAAAAATTTGAAATTTTAAAAATTAATTCGCGTTTTATTATTTATATTGTTTATAACAAAGTCGCAAATAATTATAAATTTTTTTTATTTTTAATGTTAATCACAACTTTGTAAAATAAAATATCAATTAATAATCATTCCCAGACCAATTATATCAATGTTCTAATATAAATAAAGCAAATCGGTTTTAGCATGAACCACATTCCAGTTGAAAGGATGAAAGTTTTAGACAATCCAAGGAATATTTTTTCTCCTTAGGCTTCCCTCTATTAATTATGTCTGAAAAAATAAAATAAAATTAAATTAACAAAATAACATTTAGATAACAAAATATTTTTTAAATAAAGGCATAAGAGATGTTCTAAATCGGACCGGATTCCAAATAGGACCTTTTTAATTTAAATGAATATAATTAAGCAGATTTGCGTGCTATTTATAATATAATGTAAAGTCCAATAGTTCCAAATCGGACTCGAAAAACCGTTTTTACATTTTCCATTATAGTTCAACATAGGTGAGAGATACGTCAAAATGGTCTTAAGTAATAATTTAAAAAGGAATTAAATGATCTTTCCAACAGCATCTTTGGTTTTATGATCGGACTTTATTTATGCTTTGTAGAAAGCAAAAACTGCAAATAGGTCCGATTTAGACCACTCTCCCTCCTATATATAAACATATATAAACATATAATTATTATATACGAAATACCTCCTTTTTTCTTTTGTAAAATTATTGTTTGATATAATAAAAATAATAATTATAATAAAATCTAAAAAATAACTAACAAGATAATTTTTGCATTAGTTATTTTTTTTACAAAAAGTCAAGTTTGAAAAATTGAGAAAAAATTGTTCATTTTTAATTATATATAAATCATAAACATAAATCATGTTCTTTGGAATGTATAATATATAATTTTTGTTATCATTCCCGCAATAATCAGATTCAGTAATCGATTTATGTGTAACAGATAACGGATTCAAAGATTTGCTGTAGCAACTGAATACCTACTACATAATAATTATTATTATTCTTTAAAAAAAGCATCAAATACTTAATAAAAAAAATTAATTGTTAAAATATTTACATTACGTAGCATATTAATTATTTAAATATAATACGTACAAATACAAATATTCATACAAAGTTAGTTATATATTATTATTACTTATATTATACTCGTACGTATAGTTGCCTTTCGATTATAAGTTAAATATAAAGCAGATTAATTAAGATGTATACCCGGGAAAAAATATTTTATATATAATTATATAAAATTATGTAAAAATATATATAATTTTATATAATTGCATATAAATGGACATATTTTATTTATAATTGTATATAATTATATCTATTTATATACAATTATATATAAACTTACATATAAAATTATATACAATTATATATAAAATATGGGACTTCCGGTTAGGAGAAGGTAGCGTAGAGACGGGTGTATGTACGGCGGATCGAATTATAGCCGAAAAGTAGTAATAAACGAAAAGAGGTAAAAGATACAAAGTGGAGCAAAGAGAGAAAAGGTGGGAAAGTGTCGGGAAAAGAAGGCAAGCAGATAAAGAAGAAGAGGAAAGAATAAGAGTGATTAGAAGTTTCGGAAAAACTTATAGGTTAGACGGGTAGAAGGAAGATCGAGCAGGCGGGGAGAGGTGGAAGAGCGAAGAGTCTACGGCAGCAGCCGGTAGGTGGCACAAATGGTGGGAAGACCGACAGGCAGTAAAAATAAACCTAAAGAAGATAACATGCAGAAATACATGACAGGAAAAGAGGAGCCTATGATAAAGGTGATGAGGGAGATGGAGGAAAATATTTGCAAGAGGATGGAGAAGATAAACGAAAACATGTTGGGACAAATTGAACAAATGAGGAAGGAATGGAAAGAAGGAAAACTGGAGATAGAGGAAGGAAGAAGAAAGGATAAAGAAGAATTCACTATAGAAAGGAGGAAACTGGAAAGAAGAATAGAAAAGCTAGAATGGGAGAGAGAAAAGAAAGATAGAGGAAGGAGAAGAAACAACATTGTTATCAGAAGCATAAACAAATGGGGTGGAACCAAGATGGAACAGCAGGTATCAGATTTCATTAAAGAGGTAGACGTGAAAGTAAGAAAGGCGTTTAAGATACAGGGCAAAGAAAACAAGAGTACCATTTATAGCTGAATTGGAAAGCTGGGAAGAAAAAAGAGAGGTTATGATTAAAAAGAAAATATTAAGCTCAGGAATATTTATAGATAATGACTTAACAATAATGGAAAGAGAAATGCAGAAACAATTGAAGGATAAAGCTAAAGAGGAGAAAGAGAAAGGAAACAATGTGAAAGTAAGCTATGGTAAGATTTTTGTGAAAGACAGATGGCTACGCTGGAACGAGAGAGAGAAAAGAATTGAAGAAGACAGAGGAAGAAGAGAATGATAAAAGGAAAAGGATGGCGGAGGAGCGACGAGAAGAGGACTAAGAATCTGTTTCTGGAACATAGCGGGCCTGTTGAATAAATGTGAGGAAACGTGGGAATACCTGGAGGAGTTTGACATCGTGGGACTAGTGGAGACATGGATGGAAGAAGATAGATGGGAGAAGATCAAAAATAAATTGCCGAAAGACTATGTGTGGGGCTTTGTACCAGCAGAGAAAGAGCATAAAAAAGGAAGAGCAAAAGGCGGAATAATCACGGCAGTGAGAAAAAAAATAAGGAACATAGAAGTTAGGAAATTAAATGAAGCAGCGATGGAATGCAAAATAGAGTATAATGGGAAGAAATGGAGGATAATGACAGTGTACAGTCAAGAGATAGAAAAAACAATGGAGACAGTGATGAAACACATTCCAGAAGAAGAGGAAGAGTATTTGACAGTAGGAGGAGACCTAAATGCAAGAACAGGCAATGAAGGAGGACCAGTGAGAGAGGAAGAAAATGGAAAAAGAAGCGAGAGCAGGAGATCGATAGACAAGATAATAAACAGAGAGGGACGTAGATTAATAAGCAAGATAGAAGAGAGAGGCTGGGCGATAATGAATGGCAGCTACGGAGAGGAGGGAGGATGGACATATATAGGGGAGAGAGGATCTTCAGTCATAGATTACGTGATAGGAAATGATGAAACAAGCGAAGAAATTAAAGGAATAGAAGAAGGCAACAGGACAGAATCAGATCACATACCATTAGAGATAGAGTTGATGGGGACAAGACTATGGGAAGAAAAAGATAAGGAGACAGAGATGGAAATAGAGAGAAGCGATTGGACGGAAGAGGGAGTTAAAAGCTATCAAGAGAAATGTGAAGAATGGAAGAGCACACGGAAGGATACGGAAGGCATTTGGACGGAGATAAAAAAAAGATTAAAAACGCGATCAAGAGATATAAAAAGAGAATACTACCATGGAAATTAGGAAAAAGGGAATGGTATAATAAAGAGTGGAAAGGAAGAAAGAGAGAGCTGAGGGGAATGAAGAAAGGAAGGATTAGCAAAGAAGACTATGTGAAAAAAGGAGGGAACATAAAGAGTGGTGTGAAGAACAGAAGAAGAAACACGAGGAGGAAGAAGAGGAAAAGGTTCTTAAATATAAGAACAGGCAGAGGCATGGAAGTATATAAATAGGTACAGAAAGAGGAAATCAGAAGGGCCAAGCAAGGATATACAAATAGACTGTTGGAGGAACCACTTTATGGAGATGCTAGGAGGCACGCGAGAGAGAGCGGTTCAGTAAATAGAAAACGAGGAATGCGAGGAAGAAGGGGCGGACAGAGAAGAAATAGGTGGCATCACAAAAGAAGAATTGATAGAAGTTCTGATGAAATTAAAGAAAGCAAAGGCTCCGGGAGAAGACGAGATAGAGAACGAGGCATGGAGGTTCATGTCCAAGGAAATCGGGGAAGAATTCTGGAAACTAATTAACAGAGTATGGAAAGGAGAAAGAATACCACAAGACTAATAAAGGTCTAATATATCCCATCTACAAAAGGGGAGAAAAAAATGAAATTAAAAACAATAGAGGAATTACGTTGATGGACACGGCATGCAAGATTTACGCGACGATTCTAAACAGAAGACTGGAAAAAGAAGCGGGAGAAAAATTGATGGAAGGGCAATTCGGATTCAGAAAGGGAAGAGGAACGATGGACGCGGTCTACATAGTGAATTACGTGGTTAATAGGGAATTGAGCAAAAAAAGAGGAAAGATATTTGCATTATTCGCGGACCTGAAAGCTGCATTCGATAACGTGGATAGGAGGCTGCTAAATGAAAGATGAGAAAGGTACAGATAGAGAACAATCTCAGATACCGAGTTATGGAGACATATAGGGAAACAAAAAACATAGTGAAAGTAGGAAACATGAAGTCAGAGGAGTTTTGGACTGAAAAAGGCCTAAGACAAGGATGTCCACTAAGCCCGACACTGTTCAATATACATATACATGTCGGACTTGGAAGAAGAGATGGCAAAAGGACAGACAGGAGGAGTAGTAATAGGAAAGGAAAAATGTTGATCAATAACATATGCGGATGACGTAGTTCTACTGGCAAATAATGAATATGATATGAAGGAGATGTTGAAGAGATTCAGGAGGTTCCTACAAAGAAAAAGGCTAAAGCTGAGCCCGGAGAAGTAAAAAATAACAGTTTTCGAGAAAGGTAGAGGTAGAACAAAAACGAGAGTGTGGAAATGGAAAGAAGAGGTAATAGAAGAAGTCAAAGAAATCAAATACCTGGGATATACTCTACAGAAAAATGGGGGGACAGAGAAACATATAAAAGAAAGAATAAAGAAGGCAACGGTGGCAATGAAGAGAACGTGGAGCATAGGAGAAAGAATTTTCAGAGACAACTTCGAAAGAAGAACGAAGATGTTTAACTCCTTGGTGGAAAGTATAATAGCCCTGTATGGAGCGGAGGTGTGGGGCTGGCAGAACGACAATAGACTGGACGGAATAAAAAGGAAGTATATGAAATGGATTTTAAAATTGGATTGGAGAACACCTAACTACATACTGACAGAGGAAACAAAGATGGAAGAAATTAAAGTTAAGGCGATCAGAAGAGCAGTAAAGTATAAAGAAAAAATAAGGAATTCAAAGAAAAAACTGATACAAGAATGCGTAAAGGAGCTGGAAAAGGAGCGCAGAGGAGAAGAAAAGAGTAAATGGGAAAAGAAGAGAAGGGAAGTGTTGGAAAGAACAGGAATGAGTAAAGAACAGGTGAGAAGAGAAAGAGAGATAAGAAATCAAAGAGTAGCAGAAGAATTCATGAAGAGAATAGAAAGAAGAGAGACAGAAGGAAGACAAGTAAAGATAAATGAATCAAGGTATAATGATAACTACAAGAACATAAGGACAGAAGGGCTGCCAAAATATTTGAAAGGGAAAAAGAAGATGAAAGATAGAAGTCTAATAGCCAGATTTAGGTGTGGAAATGAGACAAAGGGAGACCAGTACTGGAGAGAGGATGAAGAAAGGAGGTGTAGATTTGTCACGGTGCGGAGGAGAATATGACACATATACTCAAAGAATGTGAGAAGACAAAGAGTGAGATGAGAGCGGAAGAATTCATAGGGGAAGAAGGTAAAGGACTAGAGATAATGAAGAGGATAGAGAAGGCAAGAAGGGAAGCAGAAGAGAGAGAAAGAGGAAACAAAAACGAGGATCCATCCCTGTTGGCGGCATCGCATACTAATTAGAAAGCGAAATATGGAATAAGAAAGTTTCAAGAGCGGTTCCGGGGCAGATTCTTGGGCGGATAAGGAGAGGATGCTTATAGCGAGATATTTATATATATAGATATTAATGTTATATAATAATATGAACACCAAAGACACAAAGTTAGATGTACACAAAAATTTTAAAGTTGTAAAGTTTGATTTATTTACGAAATATCGATAAATAAGAAATGTATAAATGAAAGGTTAAAATGAAATGTTAAATGATATATTTTTAGTTAGTAAGAACACAATGTAAATCGGAAGCCATCCTAAGCCGAAAGGCAAGGATTAAAATAAAATAAATAAATAAATAAATATATATAAAATATGTCCATTTATATGTATACAAATATATATAATTATACATAGTTTTGTATAATTTTATAAAATTATTTATAAAATATTTTTTCCCGGATATGCCGGAATAAGTATATGTATAATAAAAGAAATTAAATAGACTAGATTCTAAGAGTACAAGGTAAATACATTAAATTTTTACGTATATATTCAAAACATGATGACCTACTGACTAAGAGTAAAAAGTTTATTCTTCACTAGAAATTCTGCATAGAATTATTTTTTTATATTAAATCACCGATAGAAAATTATAATTCTTCTATAAAGAGAAAAAAATGATACTTTTTTGCAAAACAGAAAAAAAACGACTTATATTCAATATAATATTCAATCGAATGCTAAGAACACACCTTTATGTCATTCTTAAATCTACCGCTTCAAAATAGTTATTTTATCATTATCATCATCTACATACAGCGATTCTCCTCGATTAATTTCTTTCAATATTCTGCAAAAGTAAATCTTTGCATTACATATACATTAAATTATATGAGTAACCCAGACAACACCCAACGTCCAAATCTGATTTTTATTTAGTCCGAACGTCTGTGGACTTCGTACGAATGTTTTAAAAACGTATGTTATTCAATGTATAAAGTATGTTCACATTTAGACATTTAAAAAATGTTCATCTCATGCAAAAAATTTTCTAAGGGTGCATTCCATTCCATCGCATGATGTGCATAATGCATCATTTATCCTTGTGTTACGGCTCTTTTTCGCCCGCCGTAACGTATTCGAACAAAACATTTAGGAGAAATTATTGGATTTCTAACTAGCGCGCGAATGGCCGATTACTATTTTTAATTATTTTCGCGATTCCAAATTATTGAATTACTGAATTATTGAATTCCGGTCAATATGGATCCGCTGTTATCAATTATGTTACGAATTTAATTCTGCCGCGTCCCGCCATCAATTACTTAAGGGGGCGATATTAATATTTTGAATACCCCTGCGCGTTATATTCTGGATCCGCATCGCTGCTGGATACGGAGTGGGGAGCGAAAAGCAGTCCAGCGTGGCTGCGGATAGGATATAAGATTGAGAGAGCGACGGAATGTTTATTAGAGTGGGAAAGGTATGATCAGAATATGCACGCGACTCAGGCCGAGTGGCTAACCATGAGATCGCTAACGTCGGCGTATGCTATAGGAATCGCTTATAAATCTTGATCTAATTTAATTAATGTTACTCATTAATATTCTTTCAATTAGGACTCAAAGTTTTCTCTATATGAGAACGTCATGGTAATTTATTCAATTGAGTAATTTAAGAATTTTATTGAACTCGCCATCAGGCTTAACACTCCAAATACGAGTGAAACTTTAGTGTCAAATTGGAAAATGTTTATTTAGCAAGAGATCAATTATCATTGTTATTATTATTATTCCCAGCAATTGAGCCGTTTCATCACTTCATACCCTTTTTAGTGATAGAATATGGAGAAAGATTAAAGAGAACAGAATATAACGCCATTTTAAAGATTGAATTTCTATTTAATGCAAATCCGAGTGATGCGCTGATTACATTGAAACTGACGTGATTGGCCATTCTATAGGAAAAGTAATTTTATCATGTCGTTAATGCGGTTAATAGTCCTTATTGTAAAAGAAATTGGTGAATGAGAGATTGGTAGTAATGGAGGGAAGAACCGTGCGCTCCTGCAAGCGCCAGCCGGCTCAAAGAAAGTAGGAGGAACCGTGCGCTACTGTAAGCACCAGCCGGTTCAAGGCTCGAGGAAATGTAGGAAGAACCGCGCGCTACTGTAAGCGCCAGTCGGCTCAAGGAAAAATGACTTCCTATGTCTGGAAGTGGCCAAAGGAAAAATGACGCTGGGCCAGTGATGCACATTTGGCTCCCCGGCAACTCGGAATCCAGCCCCATCACTTTTACCCCCACCTACCGGCATCGAGTCGGCCGTCTTCGCCGCGAGAGCGAGCGAGACAGCGAGAGGCAGCGCCCGTCCTTCTCGCTCTACCAGTAACTCGTAAACACAAGTCAGTATTAGAGCGCGTGGCGAGAAAAAAGGACGGCCGCTCTCTCTCGCTGTCTCGCTTTCTCTACTAGTCGCTTGTTATAAACGACCGAAAACCGAAAATGTACTTTCTCGGCCGCTCGGCGTATTCCTGTACAGGGTATCCCGATCTTTTTTGCCAATCACTTTTGTGTAGATAGAGCGGACTAAACTGAGTCGAAAAGTCCTCTACCATTTTGCAATTTTTGCAATAGTTAACAAGATATTAATTACTAAAAATTGCAAAATATTAGTTTTCAACAATTTTTTACTCAAATATTATCAACTTTACAGAAAAATTGCAAGAGACAAAAATTATTTATTTTCTTTTTATAGAGTTTTGAAAATTTTTTATCAACTTTTTAGTACTGCATTTTCTTATTTTTATCAACATGAGAAAATACGGTATTAAAAAATTCAAAAAAAATCTGAAAAAATTCTCAGATCTTTATCAGAAGAAAATAAATAATTTTTGTCTCTTGCAGTTTTTCTGTAAAGTTGATAGTATATGAGTAAAAAATTATTCAAGACTAATATTTTGCAATTTTT